TTGATTTGAGATATTGAGAAGCAAATCAAACTCAAATTTCAGGATTCATGAAATATAATTCATTTACTAGATAAAGTTTTATTTATATTTTCAATTTAGGTGAAGCTTATTTTAAACATTATTCTATTAAATGTCGAAGTCCAATGATAAATATTGTTTGGAGTATATTCAATACAATTTCAATAAAAAACACTCGTCCATCAAAATCTGTTATTATATTTTATACTAAATTTGATTTCTTTTCTATTTTTCAACCAACAAGTAAGAAGATTTGTTTTTTTTTTAAATTTTATTCTAATTTAGTTTCTTTGTCATTTAGATGCTGGTGCTCAATCAACAGCATTTGGTGTAATTACATTACTTGGTTTAGCTTGGTTATTAGGTAGAATTAATCTAACTCAATTGTTAATTACAAATAATAATAATAATATTAATAAAGATATTGTTCTTTTGTTTATTAATGGTGAAAGTTGGAATTATTATGGAACATTTGAATTAAGTAAAATCATTTTAGAAAAACGATTTCCTTATAAAATAGACAAATCATCCCATCAAGATAATTTACATCCAATTGAACCTGAACATATTGATATTATAATTAATATTGATCAATTAGGTATTAATCATAATCATACATATATTTTGTATGATAATATTCATCCATTCCTTGAAAAATTCAAGTAAGAATAAAAAGAACAGATTTATACGATTTGCTAACTGTTGATTACATGAATATATCATTTATAATGAAGGATCGCCATTTTAATTCATTGGTGATGTATGATCCAATATTTACCTCTACAAAGTCAATGTTTCCTCAAAAAAAAATTTTTAAGTTTGCTTAATTAAAAAAATATTACTATTAATCGATGAAAAATAATGGCGTTTGTGCAAAAAATGTGATACGCTTGTCAAATCTATCAATCTGATGGAAGTAGAAAAGTGTCTGAGCCTACCCTAACCTACGAAGCGTGAATCTAGGATAGGCCCAACTCTTGTGATTCCACCCCCTATGCTTATTGGACACAAGTTGATAGTAGATAATATGTGCACTAACCTTGTAAAACTAGGCATGTGTAGTTCTAGTGTAAATACTGACACCGATTTTATCGACAGTATGTCTACTGAATACTACTATTCATTGACTCATACTGAAGCTCACTGAAACAATGACAATGCTGATATCAGTGCTCAATGAGACACTGAGGCACCGATTCTGTGAGAGTATACACCTTTGGTGCATTAGTTTAGGGTAGGCGTGGGTATTAGAATTCATCACACATCCCCACATTCAATATGTCATATCGTTATCCCTGTACATGAATATATGCTGGCCTCCGATTGCGAGTTTTTAAAAAAATAGGAATCCTTAGAGGATCAAGTTTGTCTAAAATACAGGATTTTTGATCAAAAGTGGCAAAAATATAGGATCTACTATACATTGTTTTGCTCAATTGTCTGCTTTTGTTAACTTCTCTGCTCGCAATTTTTTCTAATGAAGCTAGCATGAAGAGCTCGACCGTAATCAGAATTCTTATCTAATTTCTTTCTACTTGAATAAATAGTTAATTCGAATATCATTATATAGTTTAATTATAAAACTTTTCTCACAAATCAATGAATAACAAAAAAAGTAGATCATAAATTTTGAAAAAACAAACAAATGAAAAAAACACAAATACTATTTTTCATAATTAAATTTGACTTATCAAGATAATACTGAATTACAGGTACTCCGAAAAGTATTCGGACATCCCGATATCAAGCATGTTCAAGAATCTGATTTCTTTTGAAATAGTTTATATTGCGAAAACTATCTTTCTTCATTGAAACATTATGCTAACAAATAGAACTCACGTTGTTCGTTGTAGTGGTACGTAAATAATATAATTCTGATGTCAGAAAAGCGACCATCTAACTTATTGGAAAATCAGATATTTTCAGAGAAGCATTGTCGTATATCGAGATGATAGACAGAATTGCTGATTTTCATAGAGAACCTAGTTCAAAGTAAGAACTATGTACTGATGAAAAAATAAAAATGCTAACTGTTTAAAATACAGGGGCGGCGCGAAGAGGTCAAAGCAGGAAGTACTTTCGAAAAATGGGAGGAAGTATTAAAAAAACGTTTCGAACTTCAAATTTTGAAGCAGGGTAGGCGACTTTTTCTGAAGTTTTTTATAAATTTTTAAAAACTTTTCGGAAAATCTTGTAAATTTTTCAAAAGTTTTCAAAAATCGTTGTGCAAAAAAACGAAAATTTTCAAACGCAGGGGTACCCTCTCCTAACCCTCCCCCACTCACGCCGCTCCTGCTAAAATAGATATCGTCATACTACAGAAGCTTGTTTAAAGCATATGATCGCACACTGAATGTGTTGTTCAACATCTAAAGACTAGCAAAACTTACAAATTTTGGGACATTTCCTACTTTTTTCGTTAAAATATAGGTAAAATAGGAATTTTAATCGAAATATAGGACAAAATAAAGGATTTCCCAAGAATATAGGTATTATAGGAAATATAGGATGAATCGGAAGCCAGATATATGTAACTTTATGAATAATAAAAGTTTTTAGTCGAAAATGAGA